TCTGTTGGATCTAATTATACTGTACAAGTAATTGCCAGCTATGTATTCCTTATACACACGCCACTTATCTGGACTTTAGAAGCTGTGCCAAGAAAAAAAAAAAACAAGCAGAGGGCAATGGACTAGTTACCGGTATTGCCTGGGGTCTCAATTCAATTAAACTTTCTCCATTGCTGACTTGTTCTGCACTGTGTCTCTGCGTGGAGGTGGCTATCTTGGTAAAGGCAGGGCTTTGCTTCCTCATGTCAAAGCCTCCAGCAAGGAGAACAATGAGCAACACAGTAGTGACATCACCAAATCTCTCTCCACATTTCCTGAGACTCGCATTTAGAGGCATGCAGATATACAGCTATGAGAGCTTAGGCACAGGGTTGCTTAGGCACACTCCTGTAACAGGAAGAAATTTGCTATTTTTCAGGAGGAATAACAGACAATAGGCACAATTTTCAGGGTGCCGCTTATATACAATTAACATTTCTAGATTTTCCCTATAACGTAACAAATATTCATTTTTTTAGTCCAGTTTAAAATGGTTCTAAAGTCAAAATGTTTTTTACCTTAATACATTTCCTTCATTAAGGTAATAAATGCCCACTCACTCTACCGACCCACCCTCTACCCTAAACACATACCTGACCCTCATCACACCATTCCAGCGCTGTCCCAGCTGCAGAACCGCTCCTCTCACTTCCTGGTCTCACAGGAGACACTGAGGGCAGCCGAAGCCATAGACCCCAGCTGCTATTAGTCAAGCTTCTGCAAAGAAGGAGCGGGGGCGTGGCTAACCGGCACTGTGTATATCAATAGATGCACACCTCCTGGCTTGGGAGCGTGTGCACGGATGCCCCCTTAGCATCCAGCTTGCTAAGGAGGCAACTGGAAAAAGGAAAAGTAGACAGCGACAGTGTGGGACTTCCAGAAAAGGAGGCAAGAGAGGGTCCTGTGCAATATAATTGCACAGAGCAGGTAAGTATAACATATTTTTTTTTATTTAATAAAAAAATTTAGCCTTTAATATCACTTTAAGGGGTTGATTTACTAAAACTGGAGAGTGCAAAATCTGGTACAGCTCTGCATAGAAACCAATCAGCTTACAGGTTTTATTGCCAAAGCTGAAGTTAGAAGCTGATTGGCTACCATGCACAGCTGCACCAGATTTTGCACTCTCCAGTTTTAGTAAATCAACCCCTAAGTGTCCAACAGTCCGGCTTAGACTAAATTCAGAAATCCCTTAAGGAAACTGGATCTGTTAGGTACGGGTGTTGTTTTCCCAAACATGGTTAGACTTTTGTGTATTGAGTTTGTTTATTAGGGCTAATTTACACTACTGTTATCCCTCTGAAGAGCAATCTGTCGTGGCTTGCAATTCAGAGGACATTAGACAAAAGTGAGGAGGTGTTATGTTGCCTCTTTGCTGTTTGTTTCAACCCCTAAGAACCTACACCACCACAACTGAAGCAAGAGACAGTTGTGGTGCAGCCCCATTCAGATGAGTAAGTCGAATGTGACTGGTACTGCCAGTCAAGAGTGGTGGGGGATCATTTTTGGTGCTCTGGGATGCAAAGCTGCAGGGCTACGGTGTGTGCACACCCCCCTCCTCTGCCTTTGCAGCCTAAAGGAGAGTGGTTGGGGGAAGGTAAAGATGAGGCTCAATTGCAAAAGTTTATTTTTATCCTTCCCTCTAGTTCCCTGGTCTCCTCCTCCCATGCCCACCTCCAGGACTTCCCCAGGGTGTCACCCATCCTCTGGAACTCCCTGCCCCAACCCATCAGATTATCACCTACTCTCCTCTCCTTTAGGCGCACCCTGAAAACCCACCTCTTCAGGGAAGCCTACCCCACCCCCTGCTAACTTGCCGACCTCCTCCACTCTTCCTACCACTCCATCCCCCACAGCTATCTCCTCCTGTACCACTATCCCCTCCCTCCTAGATTGTAAGCGCCAAGGAACAGGGCCCTCGATCCCCTCATGTTTTGCATTGTATTGGTATTGTTCTGTCACATATTCTGTCCCCCTTTGTAATGTACAGCGCTGAGCGAACTATCGGCACTTTATAAATACTGTATAATAATAATAATAATAATAATAATAATAAAACATCAAAAGAATGCATTTGGTGGTTTTAAAGGGTTCCTTCATCAAGGCTTAGAATTACTAGTAGGAGTCTGGATGGTCTCCGGCTTAAAGAGGATAACAATTAAATCAAATCAAAATCTCAGTATTTACATCAAGCTTCATAATCTGGAGGTAAAGCAGTGTGTGTCTTCCAGGTATACTAAATATATAAGTGTAAAAAGTGTCTTTATATATATATATAAATAAATGACTGACGTCAAGGGTGTTAAGGCAATGCTAAACCCCAAAACAATTATTTATTTTATTTCAGCTCACCAATCCTTAGATGTGTTGGCTGAATTAGTTTTCTTTTTTTTAGGCTTTTTTTTCACATGGTGATCCTGCCAGTTAGGCTCCATGCACACCAGTTTTTTTTTTAAGCTCATAAAACTCTGGTAATATAATTTTTTGTAGCATTTTAGTAGCATCCAGAAGCATTTAGGAGTGTTAGCATTTTATTAGCGTTTTTACAGTACATATAGAGGGAAAAAAGCTGTTAGGAGCATTTTAGTAGCATTTAGGAGCGTTTAAGAGCATATTTAGTGTTTTTTTTCTGCTGCAAAAACCCTCCAAAAAACAATTTTTTTCTGCTCCTAGATACTGACGCTCAAAAAAATTCCAATAGCCTAAAGTATTGTACATGGACACCTAGGATGGCATTAATTAGCTTTTAGGAGCAGAAAAAATATGCAGATAATAGCTTCTAGGAGCTTAAAAAATCACTAGTATGCATGGAGCCTAAATCTGTTATTTTTCAACTTCCTTTAACAGACCAAACGGTTCAGAAAAAGTGTCAGCAATTTATTTACCACTGACTGAGGAGTTTACAGTGATCAGCTTTTATTCATTCATGCCAAATTTTATCCCAATTGTAAAAAAAAAAAGTTGCTGTAACTGCTTAATTGTTTCAGCGGAGTTTGTCTTAAATTCTTTTGTTAACCTGGTTGTAAACCTCAGTCATGAAATATGAACAAATGATACCCCATATCATTTTTGTCTGATGCCTTGTTCCTCTGCTATCTGTATGAGTCACGTCTGATGAGTTTGCCTGACACCAAGAGAAAAATGGTGACAGGGGAGGGCACAACCTGTGATTGACAACCTCAGCTCTGTTCCTGTGTGCTGTGTGAAGGGGAGTGTGTCCCTTCCCTCCAATCAGCTCTCTTCACTGAAGTAAGTTCTGCTCCCCGCCCCCTGCTTTTCAGAGCTGAGAGATCCTGTGTAAATTTTGCACTTTGAATGGATGTAGGGGAAAGATGGCTGTAGATAAACAGGTATCACCTGTTAGGATGATTTGTCTCATCTCTGTGTATCACCTGACCCAGTCACTTCATGGGTATGTGTAAGGATTTACAACCACTTTAAATCCATCTAAAGCTGCTAGTACATCTAACACTACCCTAGCTCCAGACTGACAATACTGCCATCCAAAGGTGTCTCCATTTCTCCTCCATCCAGAGTGGAGACACCCTAAGGAAGTGTGTTACTGGCCGCATCACCAGGTGAAAATAAAGGGGGAAAAAAGCATAAAAGGAAAGTAATGCAGCCACTCGTTTGACAGTTGGTAAAGTGCAGTATATAAAATTTTTGATTTTGGCTTTGATACCACTTACAAAATAGTAGCAAATGTCTGAATAATTTTATTTGCTATCTGGAAAAGACCGGAGTATTCCTTTAAGATTTCCAAAGCCATAATTACAATTTCTATTTTTTATTCCTATAGTTAATATTCTGATTACCTTCTATATATTGAAGCGCAGACGCTCTGCACTCCCTGTCTTTTTAATTCTTCTGTAGCATAACAGTAGGAAGATTTACCCTCCCGCCTAAGAACTAACACACGTTTTCTGTAAATATCTCATTAATTATTCATAACCTTCCTCCCATTGTGATTTTTAAGCTAACTCGTTCGGCTCAGACAAAATCCCATAAAACAGTGCGTTCGATAATAAATACTCTGGCAGACAGACCTGCCATTCAATAAATCATGGGAACTCCAGATATTAAAACTCCATATCTATTTTAAAAATAATTGATGATCCTTTTTAAGGCAAATTAATTTTTATGTTTGAGGAAGTGGCGGTCTTTGTTCAGAGTTTCTTTGGTGACGCACTGTGGTGATATTAAAGGGCTGCGTGATTGTGGATCTAGCAAAAGCTTTCAAATCAGACTATAATAATTAAGCTGTAATGGGAACAGGGGACCTTAATAAATACACTATATTGCCAAAAGTATTGGTCGGCCTGCCTTTACACTCACAGGAACTTTAATGGCGTCCCAGTCTTAGTCTGTAGGGTTCAATATTGAGTTGGCCCGCCCTTTGCAGCTATAACAGCTTCAACTCTTCTGGGAAGGCCGTCCACAAGGTTTAGGAGGGTGTCTATGGGAAGGTTTGACCATTCTTCCAGAAGCACATTTGTGAGGTCAGGCACTGATGTCTGACGAGAAGGCCTGGCTCGCATCTCTGCTCTAATTCATCCCAAAGGTGTTCTATTGGGTTGAGGTCAGGCCAGTCAAGTTTCTCCTCCCCAAATTCGCTCATCCATGTCTTTATGGACCCTTGCTTTGTGCACTGGTGTGCAGTCATGTTGGAACAGGAAGGGGCCATCCCCAAACTGTTCTCACAAAGTTGAGAGCATGAAATTGTCCAAAATGTCTTGGTATGCTGATGCCTTAAACGTTCCCTTCACTGGGACTAAGGGGCCAAGCCTAACCCCTGAAAAACAACCCCACACCATAATCCCCCCTCCACCAAGCCTTACACTTGGCACAATGCAGTCAGGCAAGTACCATTCTCGTGGCAACCGTCAAACCCAGACATGTCCATCGGATTGCCAGACAGAGAAGTATGATTCGTCACTCCAGAGAACACATCTCCACTGCTGTAGAGTCCAGTGGCGGCATGCTTTACACCACTGCATCCGACGCTTTGCATTGCACTTGGTGATGTAAGGATTGGATGAAGCTGCTCGTCCATAGAAACCCATTCCATGAAGCTCTCTATTCACTGTTGTGCTAATCTGAAGGCCACATGAAGTTTGGAGGTCTTTCGCTATTGACTCTGCAGATAGGCGGCGACTTCTGGGCACTGTGTGCTTCAGCATGAGCTGACCCCGCTCTATCATTTTCCATGGTCTACCATTTTGTGGCTTAGTTGCAGTTGATCCCAGTTGCTTCCACTTTGTTATAATACCATTAACAGTTGACCGTGGAATATTTAGTAGCCAGGAAATTTCTCAGATGGACTTATTGCACAGGTGGCAACCTATCATGGTACCATGCTGAAGTTCCTTAGAGTGACCCATTCTTTCACAAATATTTGTAGAAGCAGTCTGCATGCCTAGGTGATGATTTTATACACCTGTGGCTATGGAGGGCATTGGAACACCTGAATACAAAGGTTTGGAGAGGTGTCCCATACTTTTGGCAATATAGTGTATATCCTGTATGACCGGTTTTTAAAGGATAAGTGCACTTTAAAAAAAAGTATACTTATCTTTCTTACCCCTCCTGTGACCTAAACAAACCCAAACTACCCCTCCCAGTACCCCCAGTACTGAATACTTACCTGGATTAGATGGCAGCGGTTCCACTGTTTGCTGCATACAGCTGTTCAAGTCTTCACTGTAATGGCACAGCCTGCAAATTATAGCCCTACAGACTTCTATGGGATTATTTCTGATTGTCTCTGGTCTCGGGACACACCCCTATGGAAGTGTATGGGGCATTTTTGTGCCAGCATGGCCAGGAAAGTGAAGACTTGCACTGCTGGATATAAACAAACAGCAGAACCATGGTGGTTGGAGCAAGGTAAGTATTCATGAATGGAGGGGGAGGGTGGGTTAATGTAGTACATTTACCCTTTGATCTGTTCCTGCCTGCACAACACATATATGTGTCAGCTCGGCAGGTGAACATTAACATCCAACTGCTATATATATGCGTCCATGGGGGGTTTTGCTGTTGTGTGCTGAACGCACTCTAAACACACTAACCGAGCTTTCACCAACAGACCCCAGTCACCATTTATGATTGGTAGCTGGTGGGATGGCTCCCTATCATGTGACACCTTTGAGAGCTAATCACAGGGGTCACATGATCAGGAACTCCTTCTTCTGTCATTAGGACTACCTAAAGTGGAAGCTCAGTCAAAATCTAACAATGGATAAACCTACTCCCACCCCCTATTTTATCTAAACCTGTAAAGAAAATATCTGTATACTTACCTATTCTGAAGCCTGTCCAGTCAATTCCCAAGATCAGCTATCAGAGGCGGCTTCAATGTAGAGGAGGGACAGCCAACAATGGATGCACCATAGTAAACCCATGGGGGACATCATCTCCCAGAAATTTGCAGCCATTGTCGGCAATCTTTCTTCTACATGGAAGCAACCACTGGAGAAATCATGTGACCAGACCAGAGCAGCTTCAGAATAGGTAAGTACACAGATCTTTACAGGGTTACATAGAATAGGGTTAGGAGGGGGTGGGAATAAATTTAGTCCTAGTTTGATTTTAACTGAACTTCCACTTTAAAGAGTCACCAGGAGGCATCGGCAAGAGGGTGAAGTGTATGTAAAGGCAAAACCATACTTTTTTTTTTTTAGTTATGATAACGTGAGGAAGGGGTAGACTCTCTGCAGAGTTGTTATTGCTGTATGGGTCCTCAGAAGTAGAAATGCCTTCTTTATACATCCTGATGACTGTTGTCACTGAAACAGTAAGTCTAAAATTCTAACATTTTGAGTTGTCAAGGGACCAAAAGGTGAAGGGAAACCTCCAATTAAGACAATTGCTTTGTCAACTGTCTAAGACAGGGTTTCTCAACCAGGGTTCCATGCAGCCCTAAAGTTACTCCAGAGGTTGCTAGGGGTTCCTTGAGCAATGGGCAATTTTTGCCTCTCTGACAAGTTCCCACTGACACCATTAATTTTTTTAGCTATCTGTAAGGGGATAATTCTGCCCTATGATGAAACATGTGAGGAGACATCTTCCCACTGACCATCACATTAATGTACCATGATTTATAGATATAGCAATTTTTAGCAGGGGTTCCCTGAGACCAGAAAGTTATTTCAAGGGTTCCTCTGTGTTGAACAGTTGAGAAAGACTGGTCTAAGGTGAGATCTCCCTTCGCTTTGGAGAAATTTCCCACCTCTCCACCTCATCCAATCAGAGAACAGTATACATGTATTGTGAAGATGCAAATCATCTTCTGAATGGTGCCCATGGCCAACTTGCTGTGATCATACACGGGACCTAGAAGTCAGTGGAGATCACTGGAGTAGGGTATAGGGGTGCCTACTTCAGTGATTTCCAGCATCTAGAGGGATTCTACAGGTATTTTAATCATAGTTACATTGGTCCACGCTGGTCCAATGTAACTGTAAAAATATCCATACCTGGAATTCTTCTTTAAATTTGTCTTTTATTTCTATACAATGTATTTTGCCTATATGTTCCTAGCAGTCACAGTCACTTCCTAATCTGACTGTAGCAACCTGCTAGTTAGCTAGGGGGAGCTAGACTGCAATTGTTCGTTAGGGCTGACTAGCAGCCTGGGTGTGACAGCTATCCGGTGTAAAATTTTGGTCAAGGCTGAGAGGCTCTGCAGACCAGCACTCTGGAATTTCCCCCTTCTCTACAACTTTGGAGAAAGGTCTAGAAGCAGTGGGTGGATATGAGGAGTGGCTTGTCTGTATTCTTAGGGGATTCTGGCCAATCCCCAGTAGGAGGCTTGGCAAGGGGCCAGGATAGCCTTTAAGAGTAACTGAGCCTGCTCATCAGGAAGGGAGTTGGGTGGAAGATCTGAGAGAGGAAAAGATGCAGGAGCCTGTGAAGGGGGCCCTGATGTGAAAGGGGCTTACCTCCAGGCAGAGGGACCTTGGAAGGAGGAAAGCTTTGGACTTCACCGGCCCCCTGAGAGTGTAGCAAGGAAGGAGCTGCCCAGCTAGAAGGCCTGGTAGCAACCACCAACCCACCAACAACACAGGAGAAGGACCAAGTCAGTAGACCTGCACCCCCTAGGCTAGTAAGGGGAAAGAGGCACTCTAGTGGGAAACTGGATTAGCTTTGCTTTTTACCCAAGACTGTTCACAGTGCTGTGTCAGGCACTGGATCCCCTGCCCAGGTATTCACCTAGTACACCTGGATGAGGAGAGGATTCATCTGGGGTCTGGGGTCTGGTACTGTGGGAGGTGCTGGCTAGCTCTCCAGAAAATGTTTGCTGTAAAGATTTGTACACAGTTGATAAGGAGTTTGTCCTCTGTTACCATTGTCCTTGGGCATCCCAGACACCTCTCACCCCATCCAAGTTCTAATTCCCCTAATAAAACTTAAAAAAAGCTCAAGGACTGGTTACTGTCTGATGATGCAAGTCTGAAGGAAAAATGGGTTGCCTGGCTGTACACGACAATAGGGGGACCCAAACTTCAGCCACTCCTAAGGGGGTAGTGCTACATGACCATGTTCCAACTGTACATTGAGTATATTAAGCGGTTTAGAAGAAGCCGCTCTTTAAATATATCCTTCTTGCTGGTTAATTTGCCAATGTTCCCCTCCCTCTTCTCTGTGGTTAATCTACAAATCAGTCTGTAAACAGTTTTAACTCAGAGGACATCAATTAGATTTGACTTCTTTTCACACTTTATAAATCACTGCCAAAATTTTGTTTGCTTGTATAATCAGATTGTAGTTTATGAGGTGTCAGATTTGCCGTAATTAATTTACTTGTGGAGTTGCTGGAATGACAGAGGGAAACCTTCCTTAAAGGAGTATGATGGTTTATGTGTTCATTATGTCAGATCAAGGGAACATGGGAAACTGACCGTGCAGCCAGACATTTGGCTTCACGTAATTAGCCAGGGAATATGTTCATGCACCATGATTAACAAGTTTTATCAGGAGAGCACACAATGTTCCTTATCAAAGGTCTAAATAGAGGGTGATATTTGGGTGCTGGCCAATCCCCATTACTAATCTTTCACCCCCGCCCATCAACCCTGTTCACAGTTCTACTATTAAAGTAGATGTAAACCCTAACTGAATGACAATGAGTTTGCTAAAGCACTGTGTTTTCACCTTTTTTCATCCCTTGTTTGCTGATCTTCTGCAGCCTATATACAGCCAATTTCTGCCTATATATACATCAGCAATGGTTGCATGAGGTTTTCAGGGTGAGTTTCCGTATGATGACAGCATTGGACAGCGCTTGCATAGTATTAAAATGTTTTTTTGCTTCCATTGCTTCCCATGTGACAGAAATCCAAATGGGAGACATGGACAGAGCATTGTCATACTACAACAGAGTATTTGAAAACTATGTGTCAAAATATTGAACATTACTTGAGATGACATTTAAAAGTAAAATTGTACTTGCAGGGATTACATACACTTTAAAGTGAACCTTGCATCTAAAATGCATATCCTACTTTTTAAGTGCCCCCACCCTTTTCTAAAGAGCAGAATAAAAATCTCTGGGGGGGGGGGGAGTAAGATATTAATAATAATACTAAGTGGGAGCCCCTATCCACAGTAAGGTTGAAGAAACTCTCTTTTAAGCCCATAAGTCCAACATATAACCATAATAAGGCTGAGTAAAGCCCATCCTATATGTCCAGCATCCAGCCCTATAGTAAAAGGGTCCCAGAAATTGACTGTATAAGTAACTAATCCCTAACAGAACAAATAGTCAGAGCTCTGATCTGAAAACATGAAGCAGAGCCAACTTTGCTCCTCTAGCTTCCAGCAGGAGTTGGATATTATACTTACTTTTCCCTTGGCTTCTGCTATCACTGACAAGATGCTCCCAGCAAAAGTACTGCAATGTCTTCTCATGAGATTTGGAGTGTTCACCATTCCCCAGGATCTTAAAGGCAGGAGGATAATTTCACCTCACAGGAATTGATGTTTGTACCCCCACCTCACTCCTTTATCTAGGTAATCTGGTGATCTGAGAACTCCTGCTTAAGAAGCAAGAATCAAATTTTCAAACACACCCAGTTCAAGCAAAGAATGGTACACTGGCTGTCATGCTGATCCAGTAGCTTCATCACTGTATGATTACTGATCTAGAACACTTATGCAGAATTCTTACTGCAATCTGATCTACATACTTGTTCTAGGTCTGTGCTTCAGAATTTTTAAAGCCAGAGGAAGCAAGATAAATTGCATTATCGGAAGTTCAGCCATGGCAGCCTTCACACTTTTCTCAGTACATATTTCCTTTAAAAAATGAAGTATGGTCAAAGCTTTTTTGGTCATAGTTCTCTTGTGGGTCAGAGGATTACACTTACCTATGCTCTCCTGTGACCCAGAATCCGTCGACAGTCACAGAGCC